TTCTCCACGCTGGGGGACACGCTGAGCGTCTTGTTGGTGGGGCCAATGGCGCCCGCCACAAACTTGCGGCTGCCCGGGTTGGCCGCCATGTAGGCGGCTGTGGCCTTCTTGGCAAGCTGTGCTGCCGTACGGTTGATCAGGGCAACCTCCTCCACCTGGTCTAGCTGGTAGTCGGCCTGTGAAAAGGGCAGAGCGGGGTGACAAAAGCGCAGGCATCTCGTCGGCAGTGCAGCAAGAACAAAAGCAGGACCAGTAGCATGCTTAGGCAGGCAACAGCAGGGACCAGCGGCATGATTCATTCAGTTACAGCAGCAGCCGTTGGGAAGTAGGTCGCTCTTCAGGCAACCAGACCTGCGAGATGGTGGTGCCATTGAAGGTGTTGGTTTCAATGATGTCGGCGCCGCCGGTGAGGTACGCAGTGTGGATCTCCTCAATCACGTCGGGCCGAGTCAGCACCAGCAAATCGTTGTTGCCCTTGAGCTCATGCTCATGGCTCTTGTACCTGCGCCAGCCATCATGGGCATCATGGGCATCAAAGCAGCAACCGCATGCAAGCTCGGTGTGCAGAAATGAGTCTGGCAAGCAGCCAAGGTGGCTGCCACCATCTCAGCAATACATCAATGCCACCCTCGGCACCCAGCTGGACAGACAGCTGCCCAGCACCACTCCAGGCACACACCGCTCGCCGCGGAAGTCCTCCTCCTGCAGCTTGTAGCGCTGGATCATGGTGCCCATGGCGCCGTCGATGAAGATGATGCGCTCCTGCATCATCGCCTCCAGCTGGCCAAACGCCTCCGACTTGGCCAGCGGGTCGCGCCACGGCTGGTAGGCGGGCACAGGAGGCAGGTCTGTGTCTGGCGCGAGAGGATCCACACCAGCTGGAATGGGGTTGAGCTTGGGGGTGAATGCCGGGGTGCTGGGCTCTCCATTCAGCTTGCGCGGTGCAGTTGGCTTGCTCTTGGGATCCAGTGTGCCTGCGTAGTCGAGCAGACGCTCGGTGCTGTCTTCCCGGCGGTTGAGCAGCACATCCTCCACATACTCCAGCAGCTCCTTGTCAATCTTCTCATACAAATCCGCCTGGACCTGCAGGCATGTGACAAGAAGCATGCAAGTTGGTAAATTCAGTGTATCAATCATCCTGTATGGAACATGCTTCTGTGCTAACACTCCCCAGCACAAAAGCTGACCAACCTGACAGAAAACTACCCCTGTGATGCAGTGCCCAGCACCAATGTAAGTGTACCTGCGTGGCATTCACGATGCCCATGTCCATGCCCGCCTTGCAGGCGTGGTGCAGGAAGGCGCTGTGGAAGGCGCGCCGCACCGGCTCGTTGCCGCGGAAGGAAAATGCAATGTTGGACACGCCGCCGCTGATCTTGGCACCCGGGCACAGCCGCTTGATCTCCCGTGTGCCACGAATGAAATCGACGGCATAATTGTTGTGTTCCGCCATGCCGGTGCCCACAGTGAGGATGTTGGGATCGAAGATGATATCTTGAGGGTTGAACCCAACTTCCTCCACCAGAATGCGGTAAGCACGCTGGCAGATGCGCACCTACAGGCAGCCGAAGTGCACAGCAGGGCCATACATGCAAATCAGACGACCAGTAGGCTGTTCATTAACAGCAAGTGCAGGACAGCCAAGGCGAAAGCTCTCCAGCAAGTGCAGCGTCCAACCAGCTCAATGACGCACCTTGTTGGCACAGTCTGCCGCCTGCCCTTCCTCATCAAACGCCATCACCACCACAGCAGCGCCGTGACGCTTCACAATGCGTGCCTGCTCCCTGAACTTGTCCTCTCCCTCTTTCAGAGAGATGGAGTTGACAATGCACTTGCCCTGCGGCAGAACATGTAACAACACAGGTGGTCAGCTGTTGCTTTTCTATTGATTGAATTGATTGATGCTAT